TTAAATAATAAAAAATCAAAATTTTCAAATTTAAAATTTTTATAAATTTTATTTTTATTTACTTTTTACAATTTTTAAAAGTAATGTTTAAATTTTTTATTCAATAAAAATTTAAATTTATCATTTATAAATAGTGAAAAAGTAAAAGCTCCAACAAGAAGCTGCACCGAACTGCCCTGAATCAAGATTTGTTCTTTCCTGACACTTAATGGTATCATATGTTTTTGAACTTGCTCACCATGTGGTCTTGGTGATCCGGCTGACTCTAACAGAAATCATAGTTTGAAGAAGAGCAATTAAGTTCAACTCTCTTTCTCTTTAAAGAAACAAATTCTGGGGAATCGATTTCACATTCTGTTCTTCAATTCTGCTTACAGGTGAGAAGTTTCCATTTCTTTTTTCTTTGGATGAGATGAGCGTTTTCTTGGTACTGAATCTTTTTCTATGCTTTCTTCACTAGAATGTTGGGATATTCCAAATTCTTGCGCCGGAAGAACGAGGAAATGGAGAATGTCCCTCCCAACTCTAGAGACTCATTGGGATCTCAAGCGAGTCACGACTCATCAACTCGGGCTCCACTCATCTCCATTCCGGTGCCTACAGCAAACCCTAAACCAGAACCAGAAACGAGTTTCCGGTGTCGAATAGACAGGACTCCGACTAAGTCCAAATCCAGAAACCCTGATTCCACATTGCCACTTAGGACACCTGACAAACATGGTGGTTTGTCAAAGAATCGTTTAGGATGGGCTCAGAGAAATGATAACAGTGATGATGTGAGGACTGATGCAAGAAATATGACACCTAAGGTTAGTAAGGGAGTGGGTAGGGCTAATTCATGTTATTCTGAGACTAATTCAACTCAGAATACGCCTACAAAGAGCGCCAGTAAGCCTCCAACTCCAGGTTATAAGAGCAGGATTGATGGGAATGGAGGCATTCGTGGGGGAAATTTTTCGGCATTGTATAGAGGGATTCCCAGCTCTTTTGGTCCAACTACTGTTGTTGATACGGTTGAAGTGCCTCACTTTGATCTTAAGGAGGACCCTTCGTTTTGGATGGATCACAATGTACAGGTACAAATCATTCTTCAGTACCATTTGGCGTTACCCCCCTTCCTTGTCCTCGTGATTTTAGTTTCTAGACTAGAATTACAACTGGTAGAAGTTAAACTTAATGAGTTCTCTATTACTTTTTAAGGTAGATTCCTAAGGATGTTTGGAAAAGATGAAAATTGAAATATTACTAACTGTTTGTGAGAGTTCTCCACCAATGTTTTTGCGCTAATTTAGAAAATTATTAACTTGATATGCAAAATTACAATCTTTACTGTTTTTCTATTTTTACTGACAAATTAAAAATTGATTTATGTAGGTTCTAATACGTGTCCGTCCTCTCAATAGGATGGAGAAGAGTATGGATGGCTATAATAGGTGCTTAAGGCAGGACAGTGCTCAGAGCATCAGTTGGATTGGGCAACCAGAAACTAGATTCACATTCGACCATGTGGCATGTGAAACGATTGATCAGGTATGGACTCTGGTTAGGGACAAGAGATCCATAGTTTTGCTAAAAGTCTTATTTCCCAAGTATATTTTGTTCAAGCAATGGGTTTTGCAGGAAATGCTTTTTAGGATGGCTGGTCTGCCGATGGTGGAGAATTGCTTATCTGGCTACAATAGCTGTATGTTTGCATATGGCCAGGTAATTGTCTGAGGTCTAGGGTGTTTTAATCATATGATTTCAAAATAGCTATAATTCATTGTTTTTGCATGGTAAGAATGCCTCTTTTTTTGTTCCTGGATTTATACTCATCCTTTATTCAGTAGTCGTTGGTGTAGAGTTTGTTGAAAGTGGGTAAAACTTCTATGGTAATCAAACAATGAAATGAGGGAAGAATAGACAGGGTCTAATATTCAGATTTGCCAACTAGACTTAAGAGCATGTTTGGGTTAGCTTGTAAGAGCTTTTACTTTTTTGTACTGCTTATGAGTGATAAGTTTAAATTTTTATTGGAGGGAAAATTTAAAAGTTGCTTTTAGAGATAGAAAAAAGCGAGTAAAAAAGAAGTTTTGAAAAGTAAAAGTTTGAAGCTTTTGAGCTTTTACTGTTTAGGGTCTTTTTAAGGTTAAAAAAAAGTTTAAAAATGTAAGTTTTTAAGAGAGAAATTTAAACTTATGAAACATGAATAGTATCAAAAAGTTGAAGCACTTGGAAGCTGAACCAAACATGCTAATATCTGATGATATTACTTGGAGACGTAGGACTTTCTTGGTTACCCCTTATTGGACAAAAAAATATATATTTATGGTCAAAAGAAATTTGTGTCCATACTCCATAGGCAAAAGCAATTTTGTCTTCATGAATATTTTCTTGTTTGTAACATTCATAGCTTTTGGTGCTCCCTGCGAATAGTGAAAATAGCATGCATCATCTTGTAACATTTCCTAAAAGTTTTCTGAATCAAACATGGTTTTCTTCAATTGTATTATTGAAGCCAGGATTTCCTTCCCCTTGTTCAATTATATATCAGTTTGTTTGATATGAGCTTGTTAAATGGTCATGCAGACAGGAAGTGGTAAGACACATACGATGATTGGTGAAATTCAAGATTTGGAAGTCAAACCAAGTCCACACCGGGGAATGACTCCACGAATATTTGAGTTCTTATTTGCAAGGATTCAAGCTGTACCTTTTTTCCTCTTACCAAGTTCTATCTTTTTAATTTTTGGGTTTGATTTATTGCTTCCAAATAAAAAAGCCAATTAATCTATGTTTTTCTTAAATTTTTTCTCATTGCAGGAAGAGGAAATCCGGAGGGATGAGAAGCTAAAATACAATTGCAAGTGCTCTTTCCTAGAAATTTATAATGAACAAATAACAGACCTACTTGATCCCTCATCCACTAATTTGCAAGTAAGTATTTGCGTTGAATAAGCTTATGTCATTTTGGAGCTTTGCTGCTTATGTTACCTTTCTATTTACAGATTAGGGAGGAGGTTAAGAAAGGAGTTTATGTGGAAAATCTGTCCGAATTTGAAGTTCAGACAGTGAATGATATTTTGAAGCTTTTAGCTCAGGTTCCAATCTTTGATCCGTAATTTTTCCCTTTTGAAACAGTTGTTATTTAGCAATCTCTCTCCAATCTCTTTCCATGTGTACCTTTGCTTGGATCAAAAAATTTCCTTTTGTCATGGATAGGGTTCTTTAAATAGGAAAGTTGCAGCAACAAACATGAATAGAGAGAGCAGTCGTTCACATAGTGTGTTCACATGTGTAATTGAGAGCAGATGGGAAAAAGATTCCACAACAAATCTAAGGTTTGCCAGATTAAACCTAGTTGATCTTGCTGGTTCAGAAAGGTAAGGCATTGTTGTCCAGCTAGTTGAACCTTATATGTAAGCTAGTTTGCGCATGTCAATACTCATGACCTTGTTATCTTCTACCCCATAGGCAGAAAACCTCTGGGGCTGAGGGTGAGCGTTTAAAGGAAGCTGCCAACATTAACAAATCCCTGTCAACGCTAGGGTACTTGAACCATTTGCAAATTTATTCTAAAAGTTTGGATGCATTTCTATCTTTACAGTTCACTTACTTGTAAATGTTATGAGTAACACAATATTATTTGCAGTCATGTAATAATGATTCTGGTGGATGTGGCGCATGGGAAGCCAAGGCATGTTCCTTATAGAGATTCAAAGCTGACCTTTCTTCTTCAGGTCTCTTCTGATTCCATTTTCTTTTCCTTCACAGTATTGCGTTCCTTGGTAATGATGTAATGTTTGCAATTAAACATTCTGCAGGACTCTCTTGGGGGAAATTCTAAGACAATGATAATTGCTAATGTCAGCCCTTCTGCCTGGTTGGTTCATAAATTTGTGACTGCTTTACTATTTTGGCTCCCACTTAATCATTTCACTGAGACTGGCCCTTTTGCATTGTCTGCATCCTATACTTTTGCAGCTGTGCAACTGAAACTCTGAACACTCTAAAGTTTGCCCAGCGTGCAAAATTGATTCAGAACATTGTGAGCTTATATCCCCTGTTATTACATTTCCTTATATATATTAGAATTAATTTTCAAATTTTACCACTTCTCTTCTTTGTTTCTTGGCATGCTAGGCTGTGGTGAATGAAGACTCAACAGGGGACGTTTTTGCACTACAACATCAGATACGTCTTCTAAAGGTGAGCCACAAGGTCATAAGTTTGTTTCCTCTAACTTGTTGAATGTAAATGATGTCTAATCTAAACAGATTTTTTGAACAGGAGGAGCTTTCTGCACTTAAACGCCAGAATGTCTGCAGGTCTTTGTCTTTTTGTTCAACAGATGTTAATACAGCAGAATTAGGAGAAGATGCTAGCAACGATAACAAATGTGAGATGGATCAACAAGGGGTTGATGATGTGCTTGGATATGAATCCAAAGGCATTGTGAGAATGTCTACCAAGCAGGTAACAGAGGTCCTAAAATATTCTGGCTATTATACATGGATGAATTAAACAATATGAGGTGCAATCTGCATGTTTCTATAGTGTTCTACTTTATCTTGTACTTCTCTGAGAATGATTATGTTTCAGTTGAAGTCTTTGGAAACCACTCTTGCTGGTGCTTTGAGGAGGGAGCAGAAGGCAGAAACTTCTATCAAGAATCTTGAAGCTGAAATTGAAAAATTAAATAGTTTGGTAATCTTTTGGCACATCCCTAAAATGGGTCCATTACTGTCAAGATCATTTCTAAATTTTCCAGTACCATATTATTTTCAGGTTCATCAAAGAGAGGAAGAAATGAGGAGCACTAAAATGATGCTCAGGATTCAAGAGGAAAAAATTCACAGAATGGAGTCCCTCGTTCACGGCTCATTACCTGTGGATTCTTTTTTATTGGAAGAGAATAGAGTGCTTTCTGAAGAAGTTCAGTTGCTCCAAGCTAAAGTTGATAAAAATCCAGAAGTAACTCACTTTTCTTTGGAGAATATAAGGCTTTTAGATCAACTCAAAAGGTAGTTTCAGACAATATCAACTCAAAGATTCTTTGCCAATTCTGTTTGTGTCTCTTCTCATTTTAGCATTTATAGATATCAAGAATTCTATGAAGAAGGAGAGAGAGAGATGCTCCTGGATGAAGTATCCATGTTGCGGGATGAGGTGCTTGTGAAATCTTATTCAGAAACATTTCTTTCCATTTGATTTGTTGCTTTGAGCATGTATAATAATAGCCTTCCATATGCAGGTGCTTCATCTTCTTGATGCAAACTCCAAGCAGCATAGCCATCCAAACTTGAGTGGGCAATCGCAGGTTCAATCTCTACCATAATTCTTCTTGCTTCCATTACACATTCTTGTTTATTCCTTTTTTCTATTAATGAAAATACAACAAAAAAATGGAGAGGGAAACTGCATTTTGTTTCTCATTGTCCATTTTGCTTTTTGAAAAAAATATGGAGGCATTAAATTTTACTCTTTCTTCTGCCACTGGAAGCAACTGCTGGAGAAAAGTAAAGAACACCCAGCACTTTTTCAGCTTGCTTATTTCTATCTGATTAGAGTGACTTAATCATACACTTGGAATCTAATATGCTACTTATATTTTATTGCAGCAGTTGCAAAACACAATCAATGAGTTAGAAGAATGCAAGCGCAACCTTAATTCTTGTTTGGAGGACAACGCTAAACTTCATAGGTAAGGAAATTTTCTTGTCTTTAATCCAATTTTGATTTTCCCACGTGCAGATGAAACACTTACCTGTTTCATTACCTACTTTCTTGCTCTCATATGCTTTTCTTCGCCATATATTTTACAGAGAAATACATGATTTACGCACCATGTTAAACGATATCAATTCTTCTCCCAATGATCAAGATGTCAATTTCATAACAATAAAGGTATTACTGGTTATCTATTTTGTTGTTGAGATTCTTGTTTTTGTTATTGTACTGCAGTTATTGTGGTTGTAATAGTTACTGTTACAGTTTCCCCTTCTGGTATTGTCATATTTATCGTTATAACCTGTTTTGTGTGACCAACAACAGAATTTAGTTTGCAATTTTTGGTTTAACAACAAATTTATATGTATAGTGCATCTATGCTTCCTTCTTCCTTTACTTATGCTAAGTGTCTTTTAGTTACTTTATTAAGAGACCATGAGAATAATTTTCAGGATCTTAAAAAAAATGTGGACCTGGAGCAGATAGATGTTCATCAGGGCTTGAAAATTGCTGAACAGATTCTGGATTTGCAGCTGGAATTGGATATACTAAAGATTATTCTCCAAGAAGAGAGATCATCTTGTCATCAAGTAGAGGAAAGATCCAAGTGCTTGACTAGAGACCTTGATCTGGCAGAAAAAAAGCTGATTGTCATGAGGAAGCAGATTGAAGATACAAACGGTGAATTGAAAGAAGCAAAGGCTGTGATTGAAGCCCTTGAGTCACAACAAATTCTGTCAATCAATGAGTTAGAGGACTTGAAGAAAAGCAGCAGTCATTTTGTAAAGCTTTTGAATGAACAGGAACTTGAAAACATTTCTTTGAAGAAGCGACTTGCTAAGAAGGAGTTAAGAGATTATCCACCATCTGAATGTCCTGAGAGCATGGAGTCCAAAGTACAGCTTAAATTCCAGAGGATGCAAGACTCCCTTGAGAAGGCCAAGAGAATGAATGAATGGTACCAAGATGATCGTGCTTTCCAGGCAACTAATGCAGATGAAATGGATGCAGTTCGAAGGCAGGCTGAAGCTGAAACTGCTGAGGTAATTGTCTCTTTGCAGGAAGAACTTGCTGCTCTTCATCAGCAAGTAGAAGCTTGCCTTTTAAAAGAGATGGAGGCTAAAATGACAACAACAATCATGGAAACTGAGTTGAAGGAGTTGCAAAAAAGACTACATCTCTTGAGTCAAGATAATAGAAAGTTACTTGAAAGGGTTGAAGAGAAGGGCGTGGAACTAACAGCATTATCAGAGGAGTGGGTCATGCTGGCATCAGAAATTGAACATATTCTAACTGATGGCCATGAGGAACTCATTGATGCCTCGGATCAACTCAATCATATTTCCAGTTATTTCTCACGGAAAAGGATTTGGATTTCTGATCAAGTCAGCAAGTTGATTAGAATCATCTCTGAAAAAGAACTATTGATTGAAGAACTAGGCACATGCCTAGAGGATGCAAATGAAAAAAGAAATGATCTGGAGTGCATGCTGAAGTCTTTGAGAAGTGCTGTGCTGGTTATTAATGACGCACATCAGCATGAGTGCAGTGAAAAGGAGAAAGAAATTCTTCTACTGAAGTCACAGTTGAGTATTAAAACATCTACCATAGTAAAGCTGGAAGACTGAAGATTGCAGAGGATCACATTAAAAAGACATCAGTTTGTGCAACTGTCGTTTTTATGATTGTTAACAGATTGTCAGAAAAGAAAGTCTTAGCCATCTATCTCAATACATTGGAGGTCAATGATGCCCCGCTTGGAGAATCAGCAGATGTAATATTGTGAATGGATGCTCTTCTTGGAGATCAAGCTGCTGCAAATGAAGAAAGAAAAAATGACTCTTAGAGTTGAACTTGCGAAGTACGAGGAAATCTGCATTGAACTTGAGCAGAGGCTTTTACAAGAGGAGTAACGTGCTTGCATTATGGACCAAAGGCTAAAAGATTTTGAAGAGAAGGAAATTTTGGTGGAGACAGGAAAAAGTTACTAAGCTAAAAACCACTGTATGCACACTCAGGTCATGGCTGAGCAAAGTGATGAAAGTCCAAAAGGAACTACTAGGGAAATTTGTACCCCTTTTGATGGAAATGATGAAAGACGGGTTAGCTAATTCTCGTTTTCTGATAGATATGCATTTCAGAAATTCACATCTATGATGTAAAGAAAATGTCCTGCCAGCAAAACCTCCAGCAGTGCATTCATAATCACGCCAAAAGAAAGGTACGATGCATTTAACCCAAACCCCCATCTTCTACTGAAGTCTTAACAAATAACATCCAAAAGTAATAGTAACTTAATTGTGGTTCTTGAATGTTGCAATAGGAGGAAAATAACATACTAAAAATCCAGAATGAAGACTGCTGTACTAAATTGCAGTTTACGGAGGTCATGCTATTGTGTCAGGGAAAGCGTACTCATCATCATGCTTCCATTGATGAACATCCTAATATTGATTTTGATGAGGAGCAACAGTTGAAATATAAACTGAAGGTCAGTCCACAAAGATGAGCAAGTCTGATATTTATAAACTGAGCTGATTGTATGCTTAATCCATGCATACAGTTTCCTTAACAGAGATTGTTAAGCTTATGTACCAACATTTTAAGGGTGTTTGACTGATAGAGTAATTGGTTTTTCTTTCTCCTATCATAGCCAGGAAACTCATTACTCATTTGAACTGAACTTCACAGGCAGCTGGAATAACAAAACTTGTTTCCGATATATATATATACATCACCTCATGCTACTGCTGAAGAGGCACTTAATCATCTCAATAACAAGGTCACCTCTCTTGAAAGAGAGTTGCAGAATCTAACACTCAAGGTACACGCATCAACTTTCCTCTGCCATTAAACTGTGAGGGCCGAGAGCATCCATGTCTCTAAACTAATCCACAGAAACTAATAAACTGAAAATTGCTTTTACAGAGTAGAATTACAGAGCCAGAGAAACTGATTGTAAGGACTATTGCCACAATCTCCACCAAGAAAGCTCTAGAACAGAAGTGAAATGTCAATCTCTCAGGCAATCATCCCAAACTCCAGTTGTTTCTACCCTCATCAATAGCCTTTTGCTAACAATCACACACTCGGTACAGAAATTTTTTTGTGCGTTTTTATTCATTCACATGGTCTCTCGGCCAATATTTTGTCCAAATATAAATAAAATTCAGCGGCAATGTATGTTGTAGTTCCTCATTTTGCACACTGTTATTTCACAATTTCTTTTGGATGACGAGAAAAATCCCCTCACCCCAACTCTAAGCTTTACAAAACTAGGTAAGTCACAGATTTTATCAAACATATAAGATAAGATATTTTCACAAAATAATTTATACAAGATAAGATATGTGTTAGGAAGGTGGCCTAATATTGACTCAAGGCTAGCCTTAGGTCCTGGGACACAATAAGATATTAAAAAATAAATGAGTAGTAAAATTTTAAATATGTCATCAATGACAAATAAATTAATAAAATAATAACACATAATATTAATGCCATAAATAATTCTGTAAATATATTTCTTTTATCTTGATAGTTTCATAACATTTTTTTTTATATTATTTAATTTTACAAAAACTTTCCTCTTTAGAATAAGTGATATTTACTAATTTAAACATCAAAATATTGTTTTAAAACACCTCCTTAAAACTTTCAAGCACTAAAGCGATCTAAACTTTTGTCGAAAGGTTCGAGCTCGTGAAACTACCTAAAGAATATGGTAACATATTGCAGTCCTACTAGATAAGGTCAATGACAACTGACTACAGTTTTTCTTTTTTTTTTAGAATAGTTTTTTTCTTTTCAGCCTAGACTACATTTTAAAATATCAGTCATGAGAAAAGATAAAATTGTCCTTGTGCACTCCCGATTCATTAGGATTAATTTTGTATTTTTCAACTCCATGTTTTGAAGGGCAAAATAGATTAAAAAAATTTTTTTTTTGTAAGTGTCAAATAAATACCAAAAACTATTTTTCACATTGAATTATACAATAAAAATATAATTTAACAGATGAATTTACTAAAATATAATTTGACTTATGAAATTTATTACTTTATCTGTTAATTTTTAGTAACTTTAATTTAATTTTTTTATATTTAAATATAAATTTTAGATGAAAATTTAATGTGTTATATATTACATAAATGTTAATTAAAAATTTTTATTAAATAAAAATTATATATAAAAATTTTAATTATTATTTATATAAACTAATAAATTTTTATTTAAAAAATTAAAATATTTTAATTTTTAAAGTAAAAATAAATTTATTTTAATTTTTTATAATATTTTATTAAAATAATATTATTTTGAGTGTATTTTACTTAACTTTTTTTTTTTTATAAATTTAGCTAATAAACCCTAATTTCTTTAAAAATTGTTCTGTTCTAATTGGAATTGTTTTATAGCTTAAGGAATTTAAACTCATAAACTGCCAAAAAAAAAAAGGTTTAAGTACCATTTTGGTCCCTCAACTTTTCACTTTGGTACCAAAATTGTCCTTCACCTTTAAAAAGTACCAAAATTATCCTTAGACTTTCATTTTTGGTACCAAAATGATCCTTCCGTCAGTTAA